GTGTACTAATAACGAATAAATCGGTCTTACGGTTATTTGGATTTAAATTACACAGATTATAATGTACCTTCATTTAGGGTCATCTAAATTGAAAAATAAATAATGCATGTTTCTATTTACATAATAGTTGTATATTTCTAGCCTCTTGTACTGTATTGACGATTTTCACATTCATTATAGTGTTGATTGTCCAAATAGACCTGTGGTAGGCACATGAGTAGAGCTTTGGCACATATTTTGACAATTAGTTGCACTCCTTACAAAAATTACTAGCACTGAATTTTGATTAGTTTGATGTGGTTGAGTGTGAACTGTAATTTGTAGTCTTGGCTGTGTTGATGTTCGTTACCGATGGTAACTACTCGTTCGTCTGTCGTTATAGAAAATTAAAAAAAAAACTTTTCCGTCTATTTATTGTTCCACATGCAAAATGTTCAAACCTTACCCAAACATCATGCCACATTTTGAGACTTAAATGAATTTGAAACTTAGAAATTTGAATGAACACTCTATTTTTCATTGAATTGTTCGTCCCATTTCAAATATATATTAATAATATACAACACGAGGATCTGCTATAATAATTATTTAATACAAATAACAGGGTTGGCGATTTTGTGTTAGTGGAACTTTGTTGCAATAATGTAACTATATCGACTATATTATTACTATTTTAATTACGTAGATACACGAAATTTTTGTACGTAAATTTTTTCATTGACTATGTCAGAATCTTGAACCCAGTTAATTTATAGAAAATTAGTTTTGGCCTTTTTAGCAAAATAAGGTTCTTAACTTTAAACAGCAAGGGAAAATATATAATAATATTTTCTCCCTGCCATACCAAATACTTATGATTGGTTGAATTCTTCCTACCAATTCTTCCTACCTTTCATTCTTGTAATTGAAATGATAACTACTTTTAAATGATAATTTAAAAGTAGCCATTATTTACAGGTTTTAGGTATTTGCTGACAATCAATTTGCCAAATTTATTTCCATTGCTTTTTATTAACAAGAGGCTTTTAACTTTCCAAATTAAACTTCACTATTAGGTATATAATATTGTAGTGACTAAATATAAATGATTAATGTTGTACGAATTCGAGTGACGAAAAAGGAAAATCAGCGGCGTTTGACGTCGAACGCCGAATATAAAATGAGAGAGCAAGAAAAAAAAGTTACAAAAAAACTTTTAAAGTTATTAAATTAAGTTTTTACTGCGATAAAATGTAATTTGCGTTACAAAACATTAGCATTGTAGACCACATAATGTATTTATTTGTTGAAACGTAAACTAGTCTTATTAATTATGTGAGAGAATACAAAATCATTTAACCAATTACGAGTATATCATAAAGTGTCACAGAACGTTATTTTTAAGTTTATATTATGTGGTATATTGGAACGAGAAGGGCACCTACTAGAAATGTCAATAATTATATTATTAAGCGGAAGATCTACTTTTCTTTATGGCCTTTCGTTAAAAGTATGTATGATTTATATAAAATTATAAACTATTGCAATTGCCTATTTGATCGCAGACACTTCGCACGCGGTAGAAGTAAACTTCGCCTAGCAACTGCCCTTGAGGTAGGTCTCCTCCGGAGGTGCTTGAGCAGCTGTTGGCAAATTCCTTTCCTCCTGACTGAGCTCGCACACCTGTCCTGGTGAAATTGGAAAGGCCTCTGGACCAGCAGTAATCCTTCATTCCTATTCCTATAGAATCCTAGGATTCAGCTGCAAGAGAATGAAACCGAAAATTTCCGAAGTTTTTAATTTTTTCTTTTGAATATATTTATGTATTTGGTATCGCTTTTCGAGTGTCATATCCGTTACACAGACTCCTAAATCGTAACAGTGTTAATGAAATTATCACTTAAATAAACAATAATAGGCACATATTAATTGAGATATAAAAAAAAAATGCACATTATTTATGTATGTCTTAGACTTGACGCCTCCATTTTACAAACGCGCAATGAAAATTTTGAGTGAAAACTCAAGTTATAGGAAAGTTTTTATTGCATTAATGGAGGAATGGAGGCGTTCAAAATTGCGATTCGCTGTATGCGATACGTAAGTCGGTCATCGGTTAGTAACAGTATGAAAAGTAACGTGTAATGGACTGACAAGGAAAAAGGAATTGTGATAATGTTTAGAACGGTTAATGGTTAAACCAATTTAATTCTATAAGAGTCTTCAACAAAGCTTGTTGGTTAACTCTATAAGTGTATTTAGTCGCCTTGTATTATTTGGCAAGGTCTCCTGCAACCATATTTGTTAGACAATAATTTTACTAACAAAATTATGATTAAAACCAGAGAACATTTACGGAACGAAATACATTACCATATCTAAAAATACAAGTTTTGTTTTTATAATTTGTTATAAGCCCTAACGTTTTTAAAAGCTATGTACGAAGTGTAATCAATATAATACATAACGTAGAACTTGGTTATTTTTACTCGTATGATAAAAAAATGTTTTTCCGTTTGAAGTTTATTTTAAAAATTCAAGATAAATAGCTATTTTAATATTTTTCGTTTTTGTTTGAAGTTACAGTGTCCACAGGTGAGCACTGCGAATGTTTTAGTTACGCTTTGGTTTAGGAGATGCGTTTAGTTTTGTTCAAACTTTTAAGAGATTTTCATGCAAAATACTGTATGTTGTTTAAACTACTTTAAATTACAACACTATAATAACTGAAATTGGTATTTTAATGTGTATATCCTTTTCATCTATAATCATTTTTGTTACGAGAGTAAGTATTTAACAACTTTTTCTTCGTTCAAAATCAGTTAATATTTTATATGTAACTAGCGACCCGCCCTCGCTTCGCTTCCGAAACTGTAATTTATTATTGACTAGCGGACCCGGCAGACTTCGTAGTAAAGACCTATAGTAAAATTATTTTGTCCGTGCAGTTTGGGTCATAAAAAATCGGAGCGGTGAAGCGAGTATTTCGCTCTCTCTTCCACTCACGAGCCTTATGGACGGGCATAGTGATGCGCATTATTGTTGTCGATAAGCGTTATCGATAGTGTATTTAGTTTTGTCATTTTGTGGGTTAGTGATAAAAATGAAAGAAAAAATCACTAATCGAACATTTACGCCACATATCGCCGCAACAAGTTAACGAGAATGGCAGAAATTAACACTTTGTAACTTTTCGGAATCTATTCTTATTTCAGTGAAATTTTTTAACATATTGTTATAACAACACGTGCAAATATTATTTTGAATAAATTCTGCCGTTTTGATACAAAACAAAGGAGTAGCCATTGTGTCACTAAAGAAATTCAGAGAACAAATGCATAAAAACACATTTCGCGTCGACATAATGTACTATAATTTGCAGGTAAGTACAAATTACTCATAACATAACAATGTCTCACCACCTTTCGTATACCGCCCCGCCGCGGCGCCGCGCCGTGTACTTGCCTTCGATGACTCATTTGTTTTTATCGATAATGGCGTTGCGCCCGCGCAACATGCTCACCACCCTATCCGGGCTATGTTTTATGACCCAAACTGCACGGACAAAATAATTCTACTATAAGCTTTTGTATAAAATAAACTTAAAACAAACAAAAGGAATCCGTCCTATAAGGGATGCATCAAAGGAAATACAAAATTGTTATTTTTCTTTAATTCCGAGCATTTTCATATTTATCTACCTTTTTAAACCTTCTCTGGACTTCTACAAATAATTCAAGACCAAAATTAGCCAAATCGGTCCAGCCGTTCTCGAGTTTTAGCGAGACAATCGAACAGCAATTCATTTTATATATATAGATTTCTCGACTATTTAATGGATGTTATTATACATATAAACCTTCCTTTTCAATCACTCTATCCGTTGCGTAGTTTTATGACTTAAGCATACATAGATATAGGGACAGAGAAAGCGACTTTGTTTTATACTACGAGTTTAAAGTGAAGATAACTCGGTGGTGCAGTACTTAGCGACCCTGACCGATGCGCCGAGGGTCGTGGGTTAACATTCGTGTGGTGATCAAGTTTGCTCTTTTTTGGGTACTTATTATCTATATAATATGTATATATTTAAAGGCATATAAGTATGTACGTCAGTTTCTGGTACCCATCACAAAGGGAATCCTAATTTGTGGCCCGATGACCGTGCCTTATTTGTTTCCAGCTATTTATTTATAAAAAAATATATATTATATAAAATGAAAATAGGAGAAAAAATTGATATCAGACTAATTTAATGAAGTTTTTGTATTGACGTGCACTTACTTAGCAACCAATACGAAAATAAACGAAACCAAGAAAAGAGAGGTTTAGCATAGTCGATAAGTTTAACCCATCGTGGACATAAAAAGTATAGTCACAGTGTGCGACAGAGATAACGCTCTACGAAACCGAAATTAGCCTGTTATTGTCTCTTTCCCAAAGTCGATGTGAAATGTTGCCAGCTACTTTAAATTTGTTCTGGACTGGCGAACTGTAGGTACTTCCTACATACCATAATGGGAAATTTATGAGTTCGAACCATAGTAGATTAATCATCGTCTCGTGTTTTATACTTTAAGCCCCGCACTGATTCAGACGGGTCAGACTATATCAATCAGAGGGTTTCTTGTTGCAAAACTTAGCTGAATCAAGTTAAGTAGTACATAAGTGTATACTAGTTAGCTTATCTTAAACTACATTACATACGATATCATAAACCTTTTCACACACAACACTCAAAAACAGGACTTTTTTCTTTTTATGTGGGTGGACGAGCTCACGGCCCACCTGATGTTAAGTGGTTACCGGAGCCCATAGACATCTACAACGTAAATACCGCCACCTACCTTGAGATAATAGTTCTAAGGTTTCAGTATAGTTACAACGGCTGCCCCACCCTTCAAACCGAAACGCATTATTGCTTCACGGCAGAAATAGGCGGGGTGGTGGTACCTACCCGTGCGGACTCACAAGACGTCCTACCACCAGTAAAGATTTAAAAAAAAATATTAAAAATAAAATTGCCATTTATTTATTGCGTAAATTTATTGTGCATATTTCATATTTTGAACGTCTTTAGCTTTGGTGAGTGTCAGTAATTTAAAATCTTGAATAGGTAATTGAATTTTTAATTACATAACTAAACAATCTTCAGTAATTTAATTTGCAAACGAAGCCATTATATACTTTCTTCGTGAAAAATGTCATGGTCGTCGCATTTATCCGGCAGGCACACGAAAAACTCGAACAGATTCATGATGGGTCCACGTGAAAATGGATTTTGGTATCTTCCTCGTTTGTCCCTCAAGTATGGATATCGTTTGTAATTAAACATTTCGTTTGTGGTTAAGTTCATACAGGCGTGCAGCACCTGTCACAACAAGGAAATTAAATTGATTACCTAGCTAAATCTGTTCTGCGATGTACCTACATTTAGAAGGTTTTAATTAGCAGTATTTTAGTTCTGTCCCTATCACGGGTGACGTTGATGAGCATCGGAAACCACTCGCCATCAGGTGGGCCATATGCACGTCTGCATACAAGGGCAATACAAAGATTTAATATTTTTCTGTTCAGGATTTGAAAGGTTTTTAACATTTTTATTGCATTGATGAGTGAACGAGCTCACTCGGCCCAACTGTGAGCTTAGTGCGAGTTTTTTAACGTTCTCGATAGCGTAAAAGTTAACTCCAATTTGTATGGATTTGGAACGTTTACCTACGTTTGCCGCTAGGGACGCTGTTCCAACTGCATACAAAGAGTTAACTTTTACGCTATCGAGAACGTTAAAAGCTCATACTAAGCGCACTGGTGTTAAGCTGTTACCGAAATTCATAGATATAACAAACGTTAATGCTGACACACCTCAAGACAGTATCGCGTCAGAAATAGGATGTTGTCTATCCGAGGGTTCCAACAAAGCGGCTATTGAGATTACTTTAGCTATATGTGTTCCCTAGTAGAGAAATCTAAAGTTAGGATATTTACCGAAGTGCAAGTCAAGATCCAACCGAGAGCACAAAAAGTAATAGCTTCAAGTAGCCCCAGCATATACAGCAGACCGAATCCCTCGAGCAGTAGACAATAACAGGCAAAGTAGATCGATAATGTGCAGTTGATCGCAACGCTCATCACGAACAAGAAGAACCACATTCGATTGCGAACTCCGACACAGTTGTAGATAAACGGGCAGTGATGGTCAAAATACGCTACGCAACGTTTGCAGATACGACAATGTTTTGCTCTGAAACATTAAATTAAAATTACATTAGAAAATATTCGATCTTGTAATTGAGGAAAGACTATGTTTATAAGATGGCATTATTTAAAAAAAAAACTTAAAAGATTCAATAATCAATGTACTTATGATTTCAGATTACAGTTTATTAAATTAAATTAAATTTAATATTACTAACTAGCCGTACTCGCCCGCTTCGCTGCGCATTTAAAATTAACATTATTATTTATTGTTGATATTATTAGGGAGTCCAACACTCATATAAATATTAGACTATCCATAAAGTACATGTATTTTCTACATGGATACCAAGATTCAAGTCAATCGGATACATGGTTCAGTAGTTATAACGGTATATATGAATCATCATTTCAGCCTATCGCCGTCCACTGCTGAACATAGGCCTCTCCAATAGATTTCCAGTGCGACCGGTCCATTGCCACCTGCATCCAACGAGACCCAGCACTTTTTACTAGGTCGTCGGTCCATCTAGTAGGTGGCCGTCCCACACTGCGCTTGCCAGTACGTGGTCGCCACTCCAGGATCTTTCTGCCCCATCGACCGTCCTCTCTTCGTGCCATGTGGCCGGCCCATTGCCACTTCAGTTCACTAATTCTACGGGCTATGTCAGCAACCTTCGTTCTTCTACGGATCTCCTCATTTCGGATTCGATCGCGTAGAGAAATGCCGAGCATAGCCCTCTCCATAGCTCGCTGCGCGACTTTGAGTCTTCTGAAAAGATCCCTAGTGAAGCACCATATATGCAGCAGTATATATGAATAAGATTACCTATCTATATCAAAAAACGTAAGCTTAAAATTTAAATAGTTATCTATTCAAATAGCTGTAAATGTTACCTCAGAGGTCTTAAGCATCGACACGTATGACACAGTCGTGACAATATAATATTTCTCTTCTTCCATTTATCGTAATAAGGGATTTGTCTTATAGCTCTGTAGTATGTTTCCGAATTCTGCGGCACGTATCCGGGATCACGTCTGTTGGCAATCAACCAACTCATCCACATAATAGCATTCCAGTACAGAAAACAATAGTGTGAGAGACGAAGCGTGTTCCACGTCAGCGGAATACACCTAATCACGTACATAGGATAACCCCACAATAAAACTGAGATTAAAAAGAACAACAGTGGCCCTTTAGAATCACCAGCGCCGCCGAACAGTAACGCCCATAACTCTGACAGTGGGGGTATCCAATGGGATTTACGTTTCATTTCCTTTTGCAGTAATTTCACAACTTCTGCATGCCTGTGGCTCTGTGCTAGCATTAGCGGTGTTTTTCCATTTTTATCGCGCGGCTCTAACTCAGCCTTTACCTAAAATAATAATTTAAAATTACGCCATTACAATGAAAAAAAATTGTTATTCTATGACATTATGGGGTAGCGATTGGTCAGCAATACCAGAGGCACAGTCAAGCTACTGGGTATCATAAACTAGATCTAGGATTATGTGAAAGTATTGCTCTGCAGCTCATTTATAATTTTTTTTACTGGTAGTAGGACCTCTTGTGGGTCCGCACGGGTAGATACCACCACCCTGCCTATTTCTGCCGTGAAGCAGTAATGCGTTTCGGTTTGAAGGGTGCGGCAGCCGTTGTAACTATACTGAGACCTTAGAACTTATATCTCAAGGTGAGTAGCACATTTACGTTGTAGATGTTTATGGGCTCCAGTAACCACTTAATATCAGGTGGGCTGTGAGCTCGCCACACAACTAAGCAATAAAAAAAAAGGTTTTCGCAACATATTTTGTAACTTGAACAATGAAACTTTGAAATGAGCATGATTAAGCGCTATCTAATGTGTCCTTGTTCAAACAATAAGAGTGTTTTGCTATCCTCAGTTACACAATTCTGACCGGGATTCGCTGATGTCTATGGGCAGCGGTGTCCACTCTTCTTCAGGTTTGCATGCTCGTTGGCTTTCAGACACATTTATGAAGGTAAATTATCATAACAATAGGTAGCGTAGTTCAATATATCCACGCTGATTTGACCACCATTGAAGTGTTATTCATTAATTGTCTTATTTTTTAGATTTTGAGATTTATTAATATAATTAGATTTTAATTTAGTAACTTATAAAAATTATGAACAAAAGTAATTCTTCCTTGATTAATTTACCTTTTCACAGAGTAATCTAACACAAGTTAAGTTTCCCGACAAACATGCTAAATGTAGGGGTGTCGAACCAAAATTATCAGTACAGTGTAATGGAACTCCAGAGTAAATTAAAAGACGAACTACATCTGCATGTCCCTTATATGCCGCCCAATGCAAGGCTGTGTCTCCGTTGATATCAGACAGTCTTGTAGCTGCACCCATTCCTAACAGATAAGCAGCTGTGGCTGTTTTACCATACATGCAAGCTGTCATTAAAGGTGTCAAACCTGAAATATTTTACAATATATTCATTAGGATATAAAAAAAAAACAATTAATAAAATGTATCATTGAAATTAACAGTTGTGTTCAACCTTTGAAATCTGCAGCATTGACAGCAACACCGGCCTGAAGGAGAACTTGAACGATAGATGCATGTCCTTTGCGGCAAGCCCAGTGTATCGGACGCGGCCCCTATAAAACCGAACTGATAAATACTTAAGATCGTTATAATTGGTATAGGAGAGAGAGAAAGAGAGTATACGTTATTGTATTCTTTTCTTCCTATTCGTACACTCTTGACAGAGTGGTCGTGGTCATACATCAGTCGGATCCTGCGGTACCGATGCTCTCGCGATGCGACGCCATGTGGCACGGTGTTTCGCAGAGATATTATTGTATACAAAATAATAATAAAATGCGCAACATTAAATACAAAAAAATACCTACAATTGACGGTTTTATTGCTAAGAGCGATCTCTTCCGGACTACCATTAGGTGGACAAGAATCATTATATTTATATTCATAGACATTGCAATGCTTATTTTCTACAAATTAAGACTTATTTTAATCTGTAGTTTGTCATACCTGAGTGCCAAGACAGGAAAGATCGACAGGAGCTGATCTTTCCACGAGGTATCGCATGACCGCCACGCTCCCATCAAGCGATGCCCAGTGTGCGGGAGTATAGCCATGCTGGTCCCGAGCATTCAAGACTTCCACTCCAAGTTTTTCAACCAGGCGTTCGATTTCCGATACTTCTCTACAAAATTACGTGATTGATTTTCCCAATTCTTCGTGTCAAGTAAAAGTAAAACAGAAATATGCCAGTCATTGTGTCAAAGTGAATTAACGAGAGTTAATAAGATAATAATTGGGCACTTAGTAATTTTTCTTACCCTGATCGAACCGCCTCAAATATTAGTTGGTGCAAATCGGAGTATTGATTGAAACTCGTGATAGTCCTGGGTGGTGCGACTGGAGCATCCGGCGACATGGGTGAGCCCTGTGGGAGAGATTCCTCTGCGGCCATCGTGCACGGGGGCGGCTGTGGCAGCGCCCACACGCCGCGCGCCGCCCCCGGACTTGGATATACCTGCGCATTACAACATAAATTATTACTTTCAGATACAATTTAATAATAACTCTACGCACAACCGGATAGCTATTGAAAAAAAATTGAAAATTCTCGGGAAAAAAACAAATTCACGACTTACTTCAGTAATTTTGTTTTCGCAATCTTATTACGTACCTTTTTTATATTTATCATTTGGTATAGTGGTGGTTAAAAACGAAAATTTATTAGAAAACTAAAGGAAGGAAACAATACAGTTAGGTAACGCTTAGGAACTGTAATTTATGAGGTGAGGTCTTACCTTGCTACTCACGGCGAGGCCGACGCCCCCCGCTACAGCAGAGTTCTCGCAGTCCGCCACGACCAGCGCCTCTTTACCGAAAATCTATACACGGCTATACAGGCAAGTTTAAATTTTAATTTTTTTTACACAACACAATCCAGCTCAGACTTGCGTGCCACTGAAGCGGTCTAAGTATTGATCGCCTGTTGCTTGGGTTTTGAAAACATGCGCAGTATCTACGAAAGAGCAAAAAGTCCGCAAAGCCTGTTTCAATGTGTTATTGCATGACGCAGGCTTTGACCGTAAAAACAGAAGAACCTCTGGTGCTATACATGTTATACATGGTGGTGTGGTATGGCGCTAATTTAGGCGCATTAAAGATCTGTATGATTGGTAAACACAGTGAATTCATCAACTTGACCCATCAATTTTCGATTTGTTATGTCTACTAACCAGATAAAATACACTCGATTTATCTAAAGCCAAACTCGGAATATCAATTATCTTTAATTAAAGTACTAACACCAACCGGGAATAAGCCCTGCTGCAGTCAGACACACTTAGCGCTTGACCGTGATCAGATGAGATAACGCCATTATCGGCTGGGAGTAAGAAAAAGTTCTGTCGACAGGGGCGGGGCAATTAAATTAGAATGGATAAGATTCGTCATGGGCTGTATATTTTTGATGATAATGTCACTAACACCCTTTAAATAGTAAAGCTATTGTAAAAGCACTAAAATTCTACCACCATCCATTAATAAAATTATACGAGGCAACATATTTAGCATTCAAAATCAAAACTTGAATTAACAAGTACCTAGGAAGGCTTATATAAGCGGTCCTACCACCATTAATTACGTAAATTATAATTATTGCGGCTTTGATTTTTATTACACGACTAGCTGTACCCATCCGCTTCGCTGGGCATTTAAAATTAACATGATTATTTCTCACCCCCACAAAGATTCTCATCATTAACGCCCCCGCTACTGGTGTAGGGAGTCCAACACTCATATAAATATTAGCCTATCCATTAAGTACATGTATTTTCTGCATGGATACCAAGTTTCAAGTTAATAGGATGCATGGTTCAGTAGTTATAACGGAATATCCGTAAAAACCACTAGATTTATATATTAGTATAGATATAGATGTCATTCCTTCACTGTAGCAGTCATTCACGTGATTTTATAAAGTAGGTAGGTATATTATTAGCGATGAACCCAATTTTTGTTAGGTCTATTTAAAGTTATGTGACAGTTTCCCAAGCGAAATCTTATTTAGTATCGGCGTGATTCGAACTCGATGAAACAAAAATAAAGCCTTTAGGCTGTGAAAGAATGCAACAACACTTCTGGAAGTTTCATTCTATCGCATGTGAATTGCACACGTTTTTCTTCAATGATTCTTTTAAATAGCTAGAGGAATTACTCGCTTTTTACGACTTACAAAGGCAAATTCCTTCGTTGGTCGAATGGTTTCGGACCCTGAATACTAAACCATTACACCTGGGTTTAATTCCCAGTCGGAGTTAAAACATATTTTTATTCAAAGGTATATTTTGGTTTTCGGGGTCTTAATATACATACATGTGTCTTTGGTCCCAACCACTGTGTCAGCCCGCTGGACTTCTCAGTCGAAAGCATCCTATGAACGTTTTTAAGGTCCATAGGTTAAGTCAGCGGATGAAAGATTCCCGGATTCATACAGGGGAGGATGGTTTTTCCCAAAATAAAGAAGTAATCTTTTGAAATCTTAGATTAAAAAACAAGGATTTTAAATTACCTATAGTATCCTTTTTTGGAAACCTTCAGCCTCTCCATGATAATAATGCTGTTTGCTTTTTACATGCCTTTGAACTACTTCGAGACGAACACGTTTGCAAAGTTTGTATTTCAGTAAAACCCATTAAGTTTGTTACAGCCTTTTTCTTACCCAGGCTACCCAGATTTGTACCCCGAGTATAAAGGCATTCCTAATTTCACACAAAGGTACCTATAGGATACGTAGAGGTCGATGCACCGTGATAGTGCAAAATTATATATTTAATTATATAGATCATGATTCACGCTCATACAAATGAGTGGCACTCTCAGTAATCGCACGTGACGTTGCTACGCTAGTATGCCCATCGACAGGTATCGATTAGTACATCCATTACTTAGTATTTTGAATTTCACTAAACTATTTATTTATATCAAATTCTTAGCTTTGTATTTATTTTCATTCTAATGCTGAATAATCGCGGGTGACACGCGCTATCAAGACTTAGTTTAGCGCAGACGTACTACGTTTAAATGTACATAAGTACATGCAAAGTGACGCATTCTCCTAATGAAGGAAATTTGTTAACATATCGGTGGCAGCATCTTACATTTTATTAATTCATTTTTGAATACAGCGCCATCTCGTGTCACCGGAATGCACTGCGCATTTAACTGAAAACTTCAAGGCTTCTAAAATAAAGTGCCGGTAAAACTATCACATGATTAACTGAATTATACATCTCCGTTCGTTACAATGAATATTAAACAACAATAAGTACTTTCAAAATTATGATATTACAAAAACATTTTACACATTTGATTTAAACAATTTCAAAATAAAATTACTTTTCCAATTAAAAATTCTTTTTTAAGACCCAGTCAGCAAATAATACACGAGTTTAAATTGACTAATCGTCTATTACAACACATTACAGAACATAATTTCAGACCATACAACTAAAAAAAACAATGTGCAGGACAGAATGAAAGTCATTTTAAAATTATGAAAATGAACTTTAATTCAGCAAATTTTATACTAAATGTATAAATATTATATAATCTAGATTTCGTTTTATTGCCTTAATAGCATATCATGTTATAAAAAGTGTACAACTAAAACTAGTAGCTGATTAAACATTTCAATGTGGCTTATTAATTAGTAAGATCTTGTAAAAGCACTTTCATCAAATTTTTTCATAATATGCTTATATAATAGATAAAAATAATGATCAAAGCAAATAGTTCAAAACTGACATTGAACTTCCAAATAACAAACATATCAATACAAATCTTAAAATCCTAGTAAACTTGAAACATTCAACGAGCTAAATGAATAAATTATTACTCATAAACAAACTTAACAATGTTGATAGCTCAAAGTAACACAATATTTAAATAAGAATCCAACTGACTTTACACGCAGTTGCAGTGTGTGGTGTTGTGTCTTAAAAGTATTCAGTGCGTTGTTTGTTTCAGCCAATTAATTTTATCATAATGTTATTACTTTTGTCTATTTTTATTATTACTGTATCGTTTTTAAAGTCTTTCGTGTCAACATTATCTCTTTTGCGTTTTGAAACTTACAGAGAGAGGTTGACCATGCAATAGATATCCGTTTAATGCTTGTATTGCCATCGCAGCTTGGTCGTAATTTCTCATTGTAACAAAACCATATCCTTTACTTTTATTAGTCTGATGATCCCTAATAATCTTAACTGAAACAATAGCACCATATGGACCGAAAAGTTGCCAAAGAGTTAACTCTTCTACTTCCAAAGCAATATTATAAATATAAATAGACCATGTATTTGGTGAATTATGTTCACCCACAGCACTAATATGATTAATCCATTGATAAGGCCTCACTATGGTATTTTTTGTAAAAGTATTATTATTATTTTTATGCTTATGAGGATTACTTTTATTAGCATACTTAACTGTTAAGGGATGCAGAAACTCTGGTGGTGTTGACCCATTTATATTTTGAATAGCTCGCTCTGCTTCATACTGATGTTCATATAATACAAAAGCTATGCCAGCGGCAATGCGTGAATTAATTATTCTGCCGAATTGTGCAAATAATCCATGTAAATCTTGCAAGGTCAATTCATTAGGTAGGTTACAAATGTAGAGATTCCAGTCGGCTTCAGGTTTTGTTGGTGGCTTAAGTTCTGGATTAAGTAATGCGTGTGACACTTTGAGAGTCTTATTCTGCATCAGTAGACCGTTGAACGCTTTACGAGCTTTAACTGCATCGTCCGGACGTGTGTACTCGACGAATCCATAGCCTCGATTTGCTATCAACTTACAACTCTCCAATTTGCCCATTGTTGAAAATAAAGAAAACATCATATCCTGGGTCATGACTTCAGGAATGTAATTGACAATGAGTTTGGTAGGCGATTCTTCAGGTCCATATTCATTATTTCCTTGACAATTACCGTCCTGACACGATTCCGACATTTTTTAATTGTTGACGGTGAATGACATTTCACCATTATGTCAGATTTTTTTTCGTTCAAAAACTGGGTTCAACCCAACCCTACCTTTCTGCTCATCTTTTCTAAAAACTATTATAAATTATTTACAAAACTTACATTTATATTTTTAATCCTGAAACTTATTTTATTGTTAATATTTAAAATCCTCAAGGACATTTGTATAGTTATCAAAAAACTTTTTTATTTGGCGATGCGTTGTTTGACTGTACACCATAGCCTACCAAATCATTTAAATTTTTAGACTAAAATTAAATTACAGTCTTAAAGTATATTTTTATGAATGAAAAAACGTTAGTTGTTATGTAGTTTAATGAGCAAATTGAGCAACGTTAGTTAATATATGGTTAGCTATAGATTTGAATACATTATAATATTTTGTACCTAATTTAAATTATAATTAGTCTGTAATAGATAGGTGCACGTGATGGCTGATACTCCGGTCATCGTTCTCGTCGAACCCGTCGCTTGCGACGAAGGGCTCGGCAAGTAGATTAAGCCACAGACAGCCCACTGTGGGTCGCGTTTCCGATCCGGTGGTAGATTCTGCAAAGCACGGCTCTTGCTAGGGTTCATGTTAGCAACGTCGTTAGGTTTGAGCCCCGTGAGCTCACCTACTAATTCGGCGATCTAGATTAACCCCTCGAGGTTACTAGAATAGGTAGGAAAAAAAAGGCTGATACTACTATTGTCTCTATTTTTTTCACAATAAAATAAACTACATATTATTAGTTTAATAAACGCTTACCACCTGAGAAAATGTGAGGCACAAAAAAACCTGGTTGTGGCTTCTCATACTTTTCCAATAAGTCTGCAAGTCGCAGCATTAATAGTATTTTTCTTAAACCGCATCGAAATTTTTGTAGGTTCTTTTGAAGGAATTAACTATGTTTAAATTTTCCGAGATAGAAATGCTGATATGATGTATAAACTATCAGTCAGTCAGTTTACTAGTGGTAG